CATCATCCATGTTGGATACTGTACCCCCAGCGGAATAACCCCAAATGACGGCAACACTGTTAATGGAGGATGCTGCAAAAATTGCCATCTTTGTATAAATATGTATGTATGTTAGAAAAGTCTGGGGAAAAGTAAAACTATGAGTGTCAGTGAGGAAACGAAAAATCGAATGCCGCTTTTTAAAATCGTGAGCAGTCGATGAGTTGGCTCCTCTACCTCTGTAAAAGCTCCCATTAAAACTGCATTAGGCACTTTCGGCGAAATTTTGCACGCCTAAATAATACATAGAAACGGAGCAGTCTCGGAGTTATTACTCGGATCGTTATGCATGTCTGAGGCCAACAATACAAATGTCATGTCTGAGGCAAACAATACAAATGTCATGTCTGAGACCAACAGTACAAGTATGATGTTTGGCTGGGGCCAACAATACAAGAACCGGTATTGGTACGTTTTAATATGCCAGAATCCAAAGTGCAGTGTGCTCGGCTTTTTAACTAATGACACCACGAGGAGGGGGTCCGCTATGCCTGAGGCCAACAATACAATAATATCCGGTACTGGTACCAAGACTGGAAATATTAAATCTTCCTCGTTTCGCTCTTGTTGCCATCGTGGCTGTACAGCAGCTTGTCCGCCCACAAGGCCACCATTGCAATTGTTGGACCAGCTTTGAATGGGGGAAGTACTAGTACTAGGTTCGATACCGGTTATAGTACTAGTTGCAGACTGGTGAGTCAGGCAGTCAGTTTTTTTCGTGGTCATCCTTCTTTGTTCTTGAAAGAGTAGACATAGTAGGAGTGCTTCGTATAGCCGCCAACCAGGCATGATGATGGTGTGCTGTTGTCTAAAGTTGATTTTGTTATTGTTGCGTTGCTCGTGTCCCTGCACCACATCGGGCCGTTTAGTGAGTATTTTAAGCGATTTGGTCTAATCTGCCACGCGCTAGTAGCTCGATATACGGTAGTAGTTCCTCGAATGCATACTAGGACGAAGTAGTACTAGCTATCGGTAGCTAGTGGGCACTACCATGATACCATTTACCACCATTGTTTGTTGCTTGCTGTTGCGGAAGAATCATCATCCATCTCTAATGTTCCGTCTACTAACTATCGTATAAGACGAATTGCTCCTTGTTCGATGAGTGTTGCTTGTTCCATTACCAGTATTTTAAAATGATACCATACAACAACACTGCGGTCCAGTTCTTGGGCCATTTAGGTAGCTTGTATTCGTACCGTAGTATGCAGCCATTAGGATTGCATTCAAAACCTATAGTCTTATAGTCAATCTAGTAGTGTTGCTTGTTACTAATATAATATCATTCTAGTTGGAATGGGATCAATAAATTAATGCTCTTCCTCAGTTTTTTTGGAGCTGTGCTTGGTCTTGGGACTCTTGCTTCCCTCATCGCCATCCTTGGACTTTTTTTTCTTAGATCGCCTGGGAGACAGACTGGAAGAGGGAGACACGATTGCATGCCTGTCTTCTCCCTTGAGACTCTTCTTGGAAGAGCGTTTTGGGGACAGACTGGACGAGGGAGACTCGGTTGCTAAATGCCTGTCTTCTGTCTTGAGACTCTTCTTGGACGAGCGCTTGGGAGAGACACTGGAAGAAGGAGACTCGACTGACAAGTCTTCTGACTTGAGACTTTTCTTGGGGGAACGCTTTGGTGAGTGACTTCTTTCTTTGGTGCTACTGCTGCCACTCTTGCTTTTCTTGGACTTCTTCTTGTCGGATGATTTCTTGGGTTGTAGATCCGCACGCATCATGGACATGAGGGAAGATTCCTTGCTCTTGGTATTACCCTTCTTGTTGTTCAAAGTAGAACGTCCAAAGCACGGGGCCGAAGTATGAGATGTCAAGCCTCCTTGCTTGATGGATGGCAAATCATTGGCGGAATCCAACTTGCAAAAGGAGGATTCCAACTGCGACCGACAATCCGTTCGGTTCATTTTGTACACAGATTGCCGTACCGGTGATAGCATGCTGACGAGTGGTTTCTTCTGTACTTGTCGCATTGTGTGGTGGCTTTTGGATAGCTCATCTCGTGATCGATTCTTGGAAGGCAACAACTTGCTAATCATGGTACGCGGCGTCATGTGGACTTCGTCTTTTCGATCATGAAATAGAAAAGGTGGTGATTCGCTGCTGCTGCTTTCCGAGTGCTCGTCAATGGTAGCTGGCAACGGCGGTACAGCCTCGTCCTGATCGTTAGCTGATGTTGGTGCTGCTCGCATCAGTGAGAAGCGTTCGGAAAGTTCTTCTTCTTCTTCGTCACCAGCATCACCAGCCGCATAGGACCAAATGGCATCGATATCACGATGTTCCGGGATTGTTGCCTCAACCTGCTGCTGCTGCTGCTGCTGTTTCGTTGATTCATAGTCAGATGTGGGTGCTGCTCGCATCACGGCAAATCGTTCGGAAAGATCTTCATCTTCCTCATCCACTTCAGGTATGGCGCCAGCTGAGTATCCCCAAATGACACCGGCACTGTTGATGGTGGATGTTGCTGTAATGGCCATCTTTGTATAATGTGTATGCATGTAAAGTCTTTTTGTGAGATGGAAAATTATGATACTCGTTTTCAGAATGAATCAATCGTGGTGAAACGAAAATGCATTTTGACTCGTCGTCAGCGGCATACATATAAAATAGTTCCCATCCGCTATTTCCGAAATGTTGTACAGTATTCAGTATGGTACCGTACTGTGAAAAAGTGGAACGGAGGAGACGTCGGATTTACCGGAGATATTGAACAAGAATCATGTGCGAATCCGATGTATGTTACACCGAAAAAAGGGCTTAGGTTGAGACCTTTTGGCTGTTGCTTCATAAATACGGTGAGACCAAAAGACATCGTTTTTTATGATCGGAACAAGAGTATAATTCTTCGGAAACTGTGAATGCCCGTTGATCGGAAGCACACATCAGGATGAGGCATGAAAATAGACCCAATAGCTTTTAGCGCGGTAGTCGTCTTCGGCTTCTGCGACCTCATAACTTGAAACTGTGAAGCAGAATATATTTTCCAGTCCGCGACTGTGTTCCAAAACCCGTTTTCGGGAAATTACACTCAGGAAACGGGATTTCCCGAAAACGGACGCCGGCACGGATTCACCGCAAACGAAAGTTATGGGATTATGGTTTTATTTCGGGGAATTGGGTGTTTTTTTTTTTGTTTCGGTCTGACCAACCAACCGTATTTCACCATAGTTTTTACCACAAACCCCGACTGCCATTTTCGCGGCAGAAACTTCCAGTCCTCCCAAAGTTTTCACCCGACAACCAAGAATAGAACCACAACACCCTGAGTATTGCATCGATAATCTATTATAATCTAAACTTCCGATTCACATGTATATCCTTTTTTTTAAATTTCCCTCTAACGGTCGCATCTTCATCGCATCATTGAGAAAATAAATCTTTGCGATATTATATATACGATGCGATTTTATCCCTCTGAACGATCCTCTTCGACATCCATCAGGCATTTATTCTATCTCATTGCCCTGGCCAGAAGAGTGAAATGGGCTTTCCTCATATGGCTTATGCCTCCAATAGCGATCAACGCTCAGCCTTCATTTCCTGTGGAACTAAAGAGTTTCGAAAGCTCCCATATTACGGACGGTTGTTTTTAACGAAATACCATATGTTTGATCCAGCCGAGACAAACGCCACGGAGATCTTCCAACTCCAGAGAGCTGATGACGAAGAATCCAACAGAAGGTTGGACGCTATGAAAGCCATGGTTCCAATGAAGTTATTTTACAACCGGTTCTTGGATGGTTGGAACTCTCTTGACGCCGAAGTGCAATCCACTGTCCCAGTCGATGACAAAGCTGCAGTGTCAAGAGCCTATGCCAAGCATATTCTTTCGCACTATCTCCCTGAAGCTGACCTCACAGATGCCAAAATTGACGAGTTTTGCAATGATGTCCACTCATTTCTAACTTTATATGATAAAGTTATTTTACAGCAGGTGAAGGGCGCCCATCTAGTGCTACTGAATGCAAAAAAGGGCTATGCCGACAAATTCCCTCTTGGCATGCAAAGCGTTATGTCATTAGCTAAAATTGATGCCGAATTTGCCAATGAAGCCTTGGAGCTGTATGATACCGATCTCTACGCAGTCAAACGACTCCATGGGACGTTCACACGAGGAGGCCTTACAAGGGACCTTTTGGAACTGTGCAACTTCAAGTTATCGCCTGAAGAGACTGATACGAAGTCTTGTTTTCAAACTCGTGTCAGCGTAAAAGTGGATTATACTAGGGAAAATTGGCGAAAAATCGTCAAAGATCATAAGAATAGAGTAAGTGATGTGTGCAAAGGATTTGCTATCTGGTCAACATTCCTCAGTACTCCTCACTCATGATTCCCCTCTTAAACTTGATCCCGAATCATACGCAGCCCAATAAGGCGCAGGTCAATGTGGATACTTTTGCTGCAACAAGTATTTCTGATGTTGCCGTACCTGCAAGCAATTTGGAGTTCATCGTTCAGCAACCAGTTGCCACTGTGGATTCCATCAATACAGTCAATCAATATCATCCCCAGATCCGGAACGATCTTCCTTCTTATCATATCGATGGTCCGATCGAGACTAGTGCTGAAACTTTTGCTCCAACAAGTGTTCATGATATTGCCATACCTGGAATCGCTTTGGATTCGATCACAGAGGAACCGGCTGCGAACTTGGATTTCATCAACCCTAGCTGCGACCTTGACGCCAAAAGTGTGGACCACGTCATCGCCTCCACCGCAACCGTCTATCGCGGCCCTGACAATGAAATCGGTCAGCGCCTTTTAACAATGGAACAATGGCAGAAAATCTTCAACGGGAAAAAGGAGAAGGAAGAAAGTAAGGCCGAGAAACCAACATTCCAGCTGATTGCGAAACCTCTAACGCAGACGCCGGTGAATAAGGCACCAGAAGTCCATCAAGAGAAAGTTGATAAGATGGCACACGGTCACATGGCTGCTAGGAAGTCTTTGCCGATAGAGACCACAACAACGAAAATTGTGGAAGGGACTGAAGTGGCAGCCAAGAATCCATTTTCCATGGATAATAAATCTGACAATATGAAGTGTCCACTGGGAGTCGATTCCAATATTAAGATCAACCTGGAAGCATCAAGCAAGAAGGATGTTCTCGAAGAGAAGAAGATCAAAGAACAAGCAGCAGCAGGAAATAAGGAACCGAAGAAAAAGAAAAAGAACGAACAGTCGAAGAACACGAAGAAGAGAAGTCTGCCAGATAAGAAGAAAAATGAAGCACCACACGCCATCTTTCCAGGCTGTTCCAAACATCAACGGAAATTGATCGATTTGCAAGTGTTGGAACATTCTGCCTTCAAGTCATACATCAGATTTCCCAATAATACTTCTTTGGGCAGACTTCTTCCCGATTCAGTTTGCAAAGGAACTTGCCAACGGAATGGGAGGTCGCTGCTGTCCATAACGTCTGGTCAGCAGCTGGTCAATATCCACTTCTGCAAGAAGTGTTCGGACGATGACCAGGAGGTGCTCTCGTGGTTTTGTTCGTCATGTTACAACGACAAGAACAAGGCAGATGAAGCTGGTGGGCGGGTTTCTAAGAGAACGCGTGTCCCCAAGAGACTAGACTAGACAATGTGGGACGATGAAACCGATTGCATCTCGTATTATATATTTTGTTGAGTGCGTTGAAATTGTCCGGAACACGAGCACTCAATTTTGACAGCACCAGCACACGAGGCAGTCATGAATGCCACCCACGGGAGTCTATATACAAGGACGATTTATACAAAGGCAACTATAAAATCTTGTTATATTGTTATTTTGTTAGTAGGTTGCTCCCGGAATAGTTGGTAATCGCAGCACAAATCCGGCTCTATCAGATCTTGAAATCTCTCGCCACCCGGACGTTATCACATAGAAGAAATTGCGTTCACCATCCCTCCCTTTACCTTTGGGAACGCTTCCGTCATTATTCAGCAATGGAAGGAGCAAAAAGTGCTCTGAGCATGATTTGAATCGAGACGATTCCAAACCACTGGATGCCACGGTCGTGTAAGAAAAGTACTGTGCTCCGCAGACCTCCAAATGAAACTCGACTGGCCGTATCTCCAAATAAGTATTCATACCCCCTGTCTTAATAACCAAATAAAGATGATCGTCAACGACTAGACCAGACATGAATTCGGATTCTTCAAGTCTCCTCATTGCGGTTGCTTCATCTTTGTGGGACTTGTAATTTGCTTGAGATCGTACTTGTATGAAAGCGTCGTCATCATTCGTATCAGAGTCGGTGCTGGGCGCCGATGCTTGGTTTGCAATCTCTGTTGCTACCTCCATCATTGCCTGGCAGGATCCAGGTTCGCCGCCGGCAAGTCCATTAGTTACATCTCTCACACAAGCCCCGAGGGCGAACTTGTAAGATTTTTCAACAAAGTACTTTTTCATGGCATTATATGCCCAGTTACCATTTAGACCGTGATTGATTTTGTTTTTGAGATGCTTGATGGAGGCTTCACCTTTTAAATCCAACTCGCTTAGCGGGCACAGCGGTCCCATCTCTCGAATTGTGTCACGAAAATTGAGAAGGCCCAGGAAGTTTTGTTTCCGACGCCATACGGGAACTTTCATGTCCTTCTTGGTGGCTTGATCTCGTCTCGTGAGATCGAATACATCAACTGAAGTCAGAAAGACTTTAATGTGCCTTTCAATGTCCAAAAGTTGTGCACCGGAGGGATTCTGATCCAGAGACATGATTCGGGACATGCATACCTGCCAACAAATAATCATGTGGCTAGCTTGTTCAAGTGTGGCCTTGGACGCAACTGGTTGGATGATTGGCGGGCATTCCTCTGGAGGCAGCGAAATAAATTCGAGGAATTTTTTGTCAACAGCCTTCTTGAGGGACTTGTTAGAAATATCTTCTACCTTCCTTGCGCAAAGCCACGCCCTCCTCTGTTTCAAATTGTATTGCGATAGTGGCACTCCGGGCGGATCAATATACACATCGTCATCTTCAGTAAGTTTTGAAAGCAGCTGGTGAACATATTTGTAGACAAGACAGTACGCAATCCAATTCTCAGATACGTATCCGCCAAATTTTGTTTCGACCTTGCACCAAGATAGACTTTGGCGTTTGATTTGGTCAAGGACTGGATGGCTAAGATTGTAGAAAGAACTTGATTTCCGCTGAGCCTTTAACCAACCACTAATCAGATCTGTGGAGATTGCTTTTGTGATTCCTAGAAAGCACAAATGCATCAGTGCGTCAATATGATGTCGGATGTCAACACCTGGTACGTTCCATGTAGTTGGATGTGGAGGTTGCTGTTCATCTGGATTGTCCGCCGCATTGCAAAGGTCGGCAATGTAGACCTGAGAAAGTCCAAATGTTTCAAGGTACGCAATACCCTGTTTCTTTGTCCAGTAGCGGAGTCGAACCATGTCAAATGTAGAATCAGAGGCCGACTTCAAAATTGGAAAGGTTATTGGGCGGAACCGTAAACAGTTACCATTAACTCTCGCATCAGTTGGAGCACTGTCGGGCAAATTTTGCGCTGTTGGGTCCGTACCATCAGAGTTATTGTTCATGAAGATTGTTGGGTAGTCCTTTGGAATTTGATAAGACAACAGGTCCATGCGCCAATCACTACATCTTGTACATTGAAAATGCCTAACGTCTGGACTGCATAAACGCAGAGCATTGCAGTCAGAACAGGAAGGCAAACGTTTGTACGCACAGCTTTGTGACAGGTCTCCTGCCCAACCGAATCTTGCCCCGTATCTTCCATTACCATATGCGAGACCGAGCCAAGAACATCGTTCTGGTCGATCTTGGAGAAAGCAGTACACACGCAGGGAAACCGCCAGTTCCTTCTGTGATGCGGCATGAAAGAATTTGTTTTTCTGGCCCTTGAATAACTCTGTCAATTCCCTAACGAGCTTTTCCATGGCAGTGGTCATGTCACCATTGGACGGACCAAGGGAGACCGGGTAAGTATTGCGACCAGAATGATAATCATCTCCAGGGGTACCGACGGATACAAGTACAACATGTACGGAGCCTCGATTATTTTTGGTATTGTTGGTATCAAAAGCATCAGACCAAATCACAACTTCAGATATAAACTCGGTCGGCTGGGCATTGCTTTGCTCGTTTGAAAACGCGACAAGATCCTTTCCTCTCTGAGAAGATCCGTGGAGTGATTGAACATTCTTGGACTGGGGGGAGTATGGTGCATCGACCAAAGGATCCAAAGTCTGGCCGTTGGCTAGATGGAATTGGAGAATGTCGCGAATCGAGACGTAGGCAAACCCTGTATCAAGAATTTGAATGATGGGTCGCGGGAGTATATTTGGAATTGACTCTCGTCCATCAGGTCCATAGCAATTTCTCAGTTGTGCGTGGTTCTCTGGAATTGGAAGTCCACGATTCAACGGATCCGACATGTATACCATTAGCGCAACAAGAACACGCTGCTCAATATTGGTGAGGCGGTTTGTAAGATATGCAAGAAGAATGCAGAATAGGGGATTGGTTGCACCCATGCGTTGTAGGATGTCTAGCGAAGTGTTCCGCTGCGCTGCCCAAGCAGTAAGCAACCTGGGTCCCCATCCAAACTCCAAATTGCAGTGAAAGTATTGCGCATTCATGGGTGTTCTCGTGAGACCATCGATCGGAGTCGTTTCTTCCTCGGTCGAGAAGTAACCTGACAGGTCGCCCTTTGGGTTGGGACACTTTGACAATATTTGTGTCATCCAATCTTCCGAAGTGAGCTGCGGCGGCGCATTTGATGCATCATCGATTTCGATTGAACTCCACTCATCATTGTGAGAGAAAAATTCCATCCCGTTGTCGTTGCTATCTCCCGCGGAATGCTGGGTTGGGCTGGGACCGGTATCCGTCTCCATATCCGTTGTTTGTGCGATTTGGCATCGCTCTGCAAACTGAATTTCTTGTTGCACGTAGGCTGATGGTTTGGTGCTCTCGAACTCAGCAACTCGCTTTAGGTGTTTTTTTTGACGCACATGTTTGCTAAACTGTTGAATCTCAATGTCATGAGCTACAGTGCAGACCCTGCACTTGATCCACCTGTGGACCATAGTGCACCTAACATTGTCACAGTTAAATATCGCCAAGTACTTCCTCTTTCCGTCACGAACAATATCTTTGGTCTGGAGTCCACATTTTCTACACGAAAAATATATATCTTTAGTGCGCATGATGAAGTCGTCTTTGGTCAGTAGCGGACCATCGTCTTCTGACATCTTCAACCAACTGGAAGGACCCCAATTACTTGAAGGAATAAACGTAGTGAGGCGATAGAATGACTATTTATGTAGTGAAGCAGGGCGTCGGTGGCATATCAGCAGCAGCGAAAACATGAGCGTGTTTTACGGTGTCTCTTCGCTAACTGCCGCCGGGCGTAATAAACCATGTGTGCACATGGTTATTGAGGTTTTACCTGTGAAACCAGTGAAAAACGAAGTCGGCGTTGGACAAGTATTTTCGATTGATTCAAATCGTGGAATGCAATGTCATGCGACACGCACACGGTAGGTCCATGTACAAAATGTACTGGAAAATGCCGAGTCAGTCGGTCATTATGAAGGCATCCGGACACGTGCTTTCATAGCAACCGCAAATGACACAATTTCACTTATTTTTGGATCTGCAAGAACATCAAGGTTGCCAATGGACAATATTCGTAAGTTGTTACTATCTCTTGTCAATGATTTTGTACTCGTGTACTGTATTGTATCTAATGAAAAGCATTGCAGATCCATTTCGCTGATGGGGGTGGGGATGACACCAACACTACGGTAAGTCAAGGACGACTGTGTTCGTGCGCTGTGGATACAATACAAACAACCACTAACGTTTCAGATTTTTGAACGTTAGGTCGGTCGTTTTACTATTTATTCAGATATGGATGCTAAATCACAACTAGATTGTCATGGATCGGTGACTCTTCAGGACTAAAGAATTGTCGGGCACTGCGCTATGTCATCGATGGTCTCCTTACGCTGCGATGTGACAATTGGTGATTTCGCGATGGAATCTATAATTTCTGCCCGAGTATGGCAAAGCGCAACTATATATTGGAGAGACGTGGTGGAGACATGATGGATGAAAACTGCTGGGCAAACGCAATGCACATCCAAACTGCACATTCAAACATCCAAACTGCACATTCAACGACACAATCATGAATGGATGGAAGCTTTTTGGAAAGCAAATACGCAGTCGATTTTCATACAATGACATTTGGTTAGCTAAAGATGAAGAATTAAATGTATAGATACTTTGTTCATGGTTGCAAGATATACTGACGATAGAACGATAGTGCTATATAGTAGCTCGTTATTTTAAAATAGATTCAAATGACACCGTGTGCGGGCAGGCTCCTATATGACGGCTGGTGCGGTTTAGTTGCATACGAAAACAGCCGTTAAGCTAAGGGTGATAAGGACGGTAATGATCATGGGAATAGGGAAATGCGGTAGTAGAAGTGGGACTTATCTTTGTGGTAAGTTTTGTGGGAATATGGTAGAGTCTCGGGGAGTCTCACCCGTAAAATTACCGAAATATGCGATTGTGCCAGATTGTTTCCCCCGAACCCAGACTTTTCACCAGCTTTGCGCAAAAATCGCGCGCAATATTTAGAACTTTTCTTCACATGGGATTGCGGTAGTACCATCTTTTCCACCCGATGTTCTGCCCTAGTCCCATACAATTCGTTTACGGTGTTGTTTCCACGCGAAAAGTCATGACAAGTAGAAGTCAATTGAGTCGAATTTTCACTTCTGACTTGTCCGACTACCTGAAAAAGAGCTAGAGGCCCAAACCAAACAAACGACCTTGTTTTATGACTACAAATCTTGCTCTCTCTTTAGTCTGTAGTCCTCTAGGCTTTTTTCAAA